AAGTCTATCTTTAAAATGCACCAAGGAATCATGTATGTATGCCCTCTTTTAATGAGAGTTGATAAAACTGACTTTTTAAGAGTAAAAGTGGTGTTTAGTAACCTCCTGTCAATAGTTCTTCATATTAAATGCAGGATCCCTATTCACAATGCATTCAGCAATGCCTTTTTACATGTAAAAGACAATTCTGTTAACTTTGTGGGGATGCAGACGGGCGGCCCTGGGAAGCAGAGGATCATTGCCAAGGCTGCCAGACGCCTCAGCCCCACTCTTCCCTTTTGCTGGCCCAGAAAAGAGCGGCAAAATGCCGCTCCTTTCAGGGCCAGCAAAAGGGAGCCCTAAGAACTGGCGCACGGCTCTTTAGCGCCCCTTCTGGCACAGCGCGTCAAGACACTGTGCTGGAAGGACGTCTTGACACTGTGCGCCATGCATAATGGCCCATGGCATCAGGACGTTGCCGGCGTGAGGTTGGGGTGCCCACCGTGCGGCTGCCCCTCCCCATCCCTGCCTCCAGGCCGGCCCTTTAGGCTGGTCTGTAGAGGCCCTTTGTTAAAAACTCATTCACAAAACAAAATGGCTTTTTAACTTCCTATATCCATATAAACTACAGGATATGAAGTGTTGTTTCTGAATACTTAGAAATGCCCCATGACTATGGATAGAAAGACCCCAGAACTATCTATTCTGGATGATGGTTAATATTGGAATTCATGTGACTTTACTAACAGGGCAGGATGTAGCACATGATTAATGATGACAGCCTGCTTTCAAGACACTTCAGCGTTCTTTTGGCTGTACCCAATCACCCAAGAATTTCTAGAGGTTGACCTCTAAGAGAGAAATTACCAGGTGTTGTTTGGTGTGATGAGGGATATTTATTAAAAAGATGCCCAGCAGAAGTTAGGAGGTGGAGATGAAAGTGAACATAACTGAGATGCAGCTACAAAAGTTACTTGAAGTAATAACGTATTTTATCTACAGGTGAGCTGTGGGGAAAACCTTGCAAATTGCTATGCATCAAGAACTGTTGCATAAACATATGTGGAAACTATTGCCAGTGAAAATTGGCGATGTAAAAAATACTCATAAATTTTCTTATCCTTGGCACATAAGGATGTCTTTACAAATCAAGGTCCTCTTGAGAAAATGGTCATCTGTGGTGAAATATGTTGTATTTTGGAACAAAGCCCCTGCAACATCCTTCCCCCTGGTTTCCTGCAGAAACATGGGGGAGGTGTTTGCACAACTGAGTTTTCAGCAAAAACAAACAGTCAACAGTCAAAAACTTCAATTAACATTGAAAACAATACAACCATTATTTCTTTTTTAAATAGGACAGGAGTGAGATTATTAAAGAAATCTATGATAGAAGAGATTAAGTTTCATCATGTAAGTACAATGGACCAACAGGTCCAAACACTAGCACTAACTATTCAAATTAAAACAGCTCCTGAAATGTTAATGGGGATGTAACAAATATAAAATATTTACATCCTTACTGAAAAAGGGTGTCCTAACATTTGAGACACTACTCTCATTGCACTTTGAGACTTCATTTGGGAGAATCTGTTTGCACAAAAATACATGTGATTTTTTTTTTTTTTTGGTACAGAAGTTTTTATACATGAAAGTGTATTTTACACAACATATCCATCAGGAATTTTTCCCAATAAAAATCCAAAACATGAATAGTGCTAAAAATAAAAAACAAACAAACAAAAAAAAAAAACCAACAACAACCAAACAAACCCTGCACAATGTCCCATATATTTTCATGGAGGGAAAGAAAACTACTGAAATCATTTGTTTACATAATAGGGAAAAACAAAGAGTCACATCCCTAAATTTTGAGCAGTTTTGAACAAGAATTAATAAAATTGCTTAATTTGTAATATGGTGAGCAATATATCTACATCTTGTTTTTCCCAGTGTTTATTTCAGGATTCATATACAATTTTCTTTTAGATGATTTCATGCAAAACACAAAAACTGAAATGGGATGAACACAGCAGTCTTGCATAGCAATGTTCTGGTGAATATCTAGCAGAATACTTTTCACAACTACACAGCAAATATGGATACCTGATAAATTTAGTAAGATTACTGTGAAGTAGAAGACAATGAATCAAAGTGATATATCATGCTGTTAAAGTGATTTTTTTAGCATCTGTTACTTAGTGTTCTATCAGCCAAATGAGGATGGCATCAAAGGAAATACAGCTTCATGGCAGTTGCTCTAGTGAATAAAAACTTCAGGAAAAACTTACTATTCTAGAGCCCTGAACTTTTACGTACTAAGGCTAATATGCCAAGCTGAAAGAGACCAAGCACATGAAGCAAAGGACTTTTATAACTTAATAACCCTTACGAAAGCAGAAAGCAAGGGCAAATAAGTTACTATATCATTATAATTGTACAAGCACCTTCAACTATTACACCATAGCAGAAAGTAGTCCTGGTTTCATCAAAGTCGAGCAGGAAGAATGAAAATATGTAACACTACCTTATGTGCTAGAGATGTACACTCCACAATATAAAAGATTAATATTTATTCATGTTGTCCATATGAAGATACCGACTTTGTCTTTATCTAATTTTAGTATGCAGGAAGGGATTATCAATACAAAGAATATTAACTACAGTCGTCTGTCCTATTTTATAGACTTCCAGTCTGCGGTCCTGAATTTCCACAGACAAGAAGTCAAGAGGGAAATAAACGTGTGTGGGGCTGCATGTGAGTGCACATGTCCATTCAAGTCAATGAGGCTTAAATATTTGTGTTTTTTCATTTTCGGGTGTATGCGTGTGTGTGTGTGTCCCAGAATGGATCCCTGAGAAAATGGAGGGATGACTGTATATTCTGCTGCACTAATGAGTACAGGATAGATTGCTTAGTCACCCACCTTCAACAGTAGCAACAGTAGATCAGGGTGAGTAGAGTCTGGAGCCCAAAAGGGTTCAACCGTCAAATTTTGGTGCCCTATGGAATTCTGATTAACATTATCATGTTGATCATGCCAACCTGGCTTCTATTATGGAGATCTTGGTGGATGAAGTTTGTGGAGAGGCTAATTCCTCCCAGCTTTATCCACCTGAATTTTCCATGGAGCAGCAGGCAAGGCCTGGAGGGTAGGGAGCCACTGCAGAACAGTACCCACCCTGCTGCTCATCAGTCTCCTTTTCTGAGCTGGTGGAGTTAATCTTGGCAATGATGTTGGAGTGTCCTCAGCTAGTTGTGGTGGGGGACTTCAACATCCATTTAGAGGTTTATCTGTCAGGAGCAGTTCAAGACTTCATGAATACCATGACAACTGTGGGTCTCTCACAAGTAGGATCTGGTGCCATCCAAGTTGCAGGGCACACTTTGTACCTAGTTTTCCGTGTGGGGTGGGACAATAGTGATCTGGGTGTGAATGAGGGTGAACAAGCTGAAATCTAGACAAGACAAGGGCATTCCTGGTAAGTTGGAATGCTGACCAGGAAACAGGGATTCCATTTGTGCTGGATGGGATTATACTCTTTGAAACCTTTGGTTTGCAGCTTGGGTGTGTTCCTGGACACAGATCTGATCCTGGAGGCCATGTTTTGGGCTGTGACCAGGACTGTATAAAACTAGTATGCCAGCTGCACCTGTTCCTTGAGAAGACAGATCTGGCTAGGATCTTGAATGCCTTGAATACATCCTGTATGGACTACTGCAGGTGTAGGCAACCTTTCCCCTTTAAGGGCCGAGGGACTTCAGCTCCCAGAATCCCAGGAGCTATTGGCCAACATGGGACTATTGGCCAACATGGCTGAGGCTTCTGGAAGCTGAAGTCCCTTGGCCCTTAAAGGGGAAAGGTTGCCAACCCCTGGACTACTGTAACATGCTCTAAATGGGGCTGACTTTGGACACTGTTTAGAAACTTCAGCAGGTTCAAAATGCTGCAAACAGGTTGTTTTAAGGGGGAGTCTGGCTACAGGGATCATGTGACTTCTCTGTGAAGAGAGAAAAAATAGCTTTTTAAGAATCTTAAGCGAGTTTCCTATACAGTCAGCTCTTGGTAACCGTGGTGGTGGTGGGGAAGAATCCATCTTGGATCCCCCCAGCTGATACCAAAATCCACAGATGCTTAAGTCCCTTTGTCCTGAATGGTGGTGTGGCCACGCAGCTGTGCCACCATTGGTGACAATGGGACTTTGCTGCCCTGGCCGCCCGAAGCCCCTCTCACCACAGCAGGGGGCTGCCTCCTCCTCCTCTTCCCCCTCGGTCACCTCTGCCACTTCCTTTCCCCTCTTCCTTTTTGTCTTCTACCCTCCTCCTCCTCCTCCACCCCCCCCATGGGCTTGCCATCCGCAGATACTGGAATCCATGGATGGCAAGCTCGTGGATACGGAGGGCCTACTGTACTTTAAGTTTGTTATGATGCATACTTAGTGTTTGGGCAAAATATTTTTTCAGACATTTCTTTTTTCCCATTTCACATATTCTTTCTTAGTTGAGACTTTATCATCCTGTATTTTCATTTATGAAAAGTATTACTTTCTTAATGTTTCTATAAATTTGCTTATCGATACAGTTAAGACTTGACTCACATGGAGCTTGACTGGCATTATTACCTGCTGTCTCTGACACAGATGCTGATGATAAAGAAACAGCACTATGTTATAGCAGAACAAAAACGTAGTATTTTAAGCTTTTGCAGTACTTGAATAAGAACTTTTCTGGTAACCTATTAATTTACATAAAAATTGCTTCAATATTAAGTGTACATGGATATACATGCTTGTGTACATGACTATTTATGAAAACATTTAAGCTACAGCACCTGATAAAAGATTATTTGCATTGTGGCATAGTGGTTTGAATGTTGGACTATGACTTTGGAAATCAGGGTTCAACTCCCAGCAATGTCAAGAAATCCACATGGGCAAGTCATATGATCCCAGCCCCAAGGGAAAGCAATGGCAAACCTCCTGTGAAAAAGTTGTACCAGGAAAACCCCATGACAGGTTAACCTTAGGGTTGATGTAAGCTGGAAACTACTTGAAGGCACACAACACACACACACAGACACAAGCACACAGTTACTGTCTCCCATCATATCCCCTCAACTAAATAAACATTTAGAAGTGCACATAGTTACAATATTAATCTATGTCCAACCCTGCATTCAATGACAAAACTGTATTTGGGACTGTATTCCTTGTATCTCATTTCAGATACTATTATCCTGCCATAAAATAATTTAATAGCTACCCACCTTTAATAATGATTCATGTGTTCCAATCCTGGTCTCTTATATATATTTGGGTAGTATTTAAAAAATCTTATAATGTTCTATTTCAGAATGGCATTGTTCTAACATACCTTATGACAGACAGGTGAATTCTTGCATTTTGTTTTCTCTCTTTCATTTGCCCTTATCCAACAATGTCTCTTAAAAGGCAAAGCCTGAATAAAATCAACATTATGCCAGAAATCAAAGTGTGATGCAGAACCTATATAGGCAAAATGCATACCTGAAGAGAAGTGACTTTGTAAATCAAGAACTGTACCTCCAAGATGAAGACTGTACCTTATAGGGATTAGAAACGTAAAGTTTATAGCCAATACTGCTCTAATAGGAAGCCACTTGCATACTGCTATTTGAGTGTCACACTTTTTATCTGACAGAGTTAGGAAGAATGTGGAAAGTGTTGTGGATAGGCTTGGACAGACAATAAGAGCAAAGACCTGCCTGGAAGAGTGGAAGGAGAGGTGAGATCAACTGGAGGGGGAGATGCTATAGCTCTTCTGACTCTGGGGGCTCAGCGGACTGCGAGAGCCTGGCTACAACCCTGGTCAAAGCCCTGTTTTCGGCCAGCAGCTGCTCATTCATCTGCCTCAAAGTGTGAATCTGTTTGAGCTGGTGAAGGTTCTGCAAAGTGAGACATGGAGGAGATAGACAAAGACAAAACAGAGAATATAAAACAGCACAGAAACGTGAATTCTGTCAACAAGCAAGAAAAAAAAAAAAAAGAGCAGCAATGAAAGGTGAGAAGCTGTGAAAGCACAGTAGAAGCCAGACAACACACTGAAGCACTGGAAAGACTAAAAAGAAACCATAAGAGACATTTATTCTCTTACTGCTTGAACCTGCCTGATTTTCAAATTTAATGATGAAATGTAAGATAAGAAATTATTGTGGGATGAGTTAAACTTTGGCAAACCACATCAGGGCAATCCTGTATGCAGTTCCATTGCTACTAACAGATGTCATGTAAGTCTGAATGGTGCTGATAAAGTAGCTTAGTGTCTTTATGAATATCTTCATGGGACCACATCACGATCCAGATGGCTTTGTAAAGTAAAAGTAGTTTGCTGTTGAAAAAAGCTTGCCATTAACCCCATTATCCTGTACTTGGCACATAGGAGTATTTGGAGTGAAAAGCGAAATTAGTTTGCACACATCGGAGATGCTCTGAATTCTTGAACAATAAAGGAACATTACAACCCATGCAACCTATATGAGTGCTTACACTATACTTTAGGTTTCTCCTTTTAGCAAACTCATAAGCTTCAAGCACTAAACACTACCTATGTCAAATCTTTAAATACTTTCCTCTAAATACAAACACATACTTTATGTATGGCAGTACATCTGGAAACTGATAATCAAGTTATGCAAATCATCATCATCATCATCATCTCTATTTATACACCTGTCTTTCCCTCAAAACCATGACTAAAGGCAGCTTACAAATTAAAATAATTTAGGACAATTAAGTGTATCAGGGCACTTCTGGGTATTGGTCTGAGTCATTGTTAGGAAATAGGAACAAAATCCTGTAAATCAACTGCAAAAGCAAAACACAGAGAGAATCTGTGTTTCAAAAGTGATTTTATAGCAATAATAGAATTTTACTTCCCTTTGGAAAAGTTACTCACTTCTGGAAATATTTTTCGAAGAAGACTATTTGCAAAACCAAGAAACATTTAATATATTTATCTTTTAATATAGATAAACTATACAAAGCAGCTTCATTTATATATCGCTTCATATCGCGCATGGAATGTCTAAGCGGTTTACAACTGTGAGCTGATTGCCCCCCAACAGCTGGGTACTCATTTTAGCGACCTTGGAAGGATGCAGGCCTGAGTCGAGCCTCAGCCCTGGCTGGTATTGAACTCGCAACCTTGTGGTCTATGAGTGAGTGGCTGCAGTACAGGCATTTAACCACTACGCCACCAGGGCTGATTCAAGCACTAAACACTACCTAAACACTACACAGGCAGCTCTTAACTGATTAATTTGAGCATTATATATCTGAGTCACTGAATCTGCCCCATGAAGAGGTATCCTCTAAGATTTTCAAAAGCATTTAACAGAACACAATGCATAAGATATCACTGAGGTTAAACTTTCAAGAGAAAGTTTTCCCACCCATGTATTCAAGACAAAGTTTAGCTAGGGCAGAAGGATGGGAATAGGAGAATAAAACTGGAAACGTCTCCTATAGTTAGTTCTATATAGCACATTCTCCCCCTGACTCCCTCCCTATATAGTTACAGAATTAAATATCCCACCACTAAGTAAGGGCCTAAACAGACTGCCAGAAATAATCCAGCTTGAGACCAGTTTAACTGTCCTGGCTCAATGCTAGGGAATCATGGGAATTGTATTTTTTTCTGAATCATTGAGCCTTCCCTGTCAGAGAGCTCTGGTGCCACAATAAACTACAGTTCCCAGGATTCCATAGCACTGAGTCAAGGCAGTTAAAGTGGTCTCAAACTGGATTATTTCTGGCAGTCTGTTCAGGCCCTAACTGAACATTCAGGCCCAAAATAAGATAAAATGTCTTTGTGATAATCATTTGAAGGAAACACAATATAAACCCAATGGAACTATGTCAGGGTTCTTTGTCTCTGGGCCTGAAAGTGGATAGAACCACTATAACTTAATGGAAAGCAAATGACTTCTGAAATAGAAAATAACCATTAGATTAGAGTCCTTCTCTTCTTTATTGTTTATTTAGGGTCAAATCTACTGATTTAATCAATGTATGGTACACCTTACATAGTTGTGATTTTTTTAAAAAAGCATTTAATATTAAACCCATGAGACTCATATGCAAATCCAGTAAAAGGACATGAAGTATGTAACATTTTGCAAGGCACATACAATAGACTGATTACCTTGTTCTTTCTCCCTAACCCTCTCATGTACACAGTATGCCTTAATTGTAAAGAGATCCTTATAACCTTATGATGAGCCTGGCCCATGCTGCATTAATTTTGTTGTTCAGAGGCTCCCAATAATTATATTCCATAAAAATTAAAAGGGTCAACAGAAAGCAAACTCAATGCTTCATCACTGGTTTCGTTACTGAAAGTAACTGATAATAATCCACCTGTCTATAATTTAAAAAGCTTTTAAGTGCTGACTAAAAGCTCATACAGCTGAGATATTTGTGTCTGTTAAACAAGAAGCACAATGACTAAGCAGTCTTGAGAGCCCAGCAGCACCTGTCAAGTTCAGCTTTCTACATCTTCTAACAAGTTCATTACTGTCAGAAAAATAAAGTAAAATAAAAATAAAATTGTTGTACAGTCTCACAAGAACAGACATTCAAAAGGACATTCCTGGAGAAGTAATAAGCCAAAATGTAACAATAGTGTAGGAAAGAATGAAGCAGTTCATGCACATTTGCTTGGTTAACTCAAGGTGACTTTGGCTATATTAAGAAGCTGTGCACAGATGAAGGCATACAATGCATGAAATTGATGTCATTCAAGAGAAGTAGACATGCTGAAGATGACCTGTATTCTCTCTTCCTCTCTCACAGATGTACTCTTAAGAGAATTATAAAGGATACTTGCATTCATTTTAAGTACATTTTCAACTAGGAAAAATAAATAAGATCATAGGATTTTCATACTTACACCACCTATATACTTCAATAACCGCTAGTATGGAGTTAAATGTTTATTTATAATTACTATATTTGAAAATATTTGAGCTACATTTTTCCTTTTACATTCTGATATGAATAATTTTCTATAGTAATTTTGTTTGTTACAACATTCTTCACAATGAAGCAGTATTCTAGCTCTCATTCTGTGGCTGCATTCCGCATTTTCCCTATTTTGATATGACATCTGACAATAAGATGACACTGTGTTTTCCATTTTCAAATTCTTTACATATTACTCACATACTACTAATTACATTTTTACAAGATGCCTCACTAGTTCAGAAGACACAGCCCTCCAGTGGAACTGGATTGTAATTTCAGCTACTGACATTTTCTTTTGAAGAGAAAAACTGAAATCCATATGGAACTTCAAAGAAAGTTCACACTCAGAATAAAAAAAATATTTAAAGGGCACCTGGACTCTTTTTCCAAACACTGAATGTCTCCTCCACTCATTACAAAGTAAAGACTGACAAAATAAATGTTGGGGCAGAAGTTGATGAAATGCGAAAGCGTGCTATTCTTTTTGGAGTAGCAAAGATAGCTATTCCATGATGACTGTCTCCTTCCACTTGAATTGATCTCACCCCCAAGTTTCATAATAAAGGACACCACCAAGTAGTGGTAAGGGCTTCCTATCCAAGGAGTATACTCAACTGAGTGCACCCAAGGCACTATATACAGCAAGGATGAGTAAGAATGTCCTCCTGAGTTCCACTATGGTTCCTCAGTCCCAAATTATGGGGCATTACACTAATTTAAATACAAAAAATTCAAGAGGTAAGATGGACAGGTGGAACCTTTGGAGGTACCAAGAGGCTTGAGGCCCCCAGATCTCTGGGAGCTATCCACCCAGGACATATAGAATCCAGAAAAATCAGTGTAGAACTGAAGTATGTTTCAGTGGTAAATGGGAAGATCTTTACAGGTGGAACTTCAGACAAAACATCAGCCTTGTA